ATCTTTAAGACGTTTACCTTTGCAAATATCTAAACTAAGTTGAAAATCATAAGCTTTATTATCAAAAAGAGGGACTTCCGATATTAATTCCCACATAATTATAGAAAAACTATATATATCACTAGATAAAGTATAAGGTTGACCTCTTAAAACTTCAGGTGCTATAAATGGTAAAACTCCATAAATATCATTTTTTTTAGATGATTGAAAATGTTCTACAGGTTTACATAATCCTAAATCACTAATAGATAAAATATTATTTCTTAAGTTTAAAATATTACCATGATGAAAATCACAATGAATAAGTTTTTTTTGATGTATTTCATCAAGTCCACTAATAATATTAAGTAATTTTAATAATTTAATAATCTATTTATCTTTAACTATATTTAATAAATTTTTTCTTAAATTATTATTTATTGCATATTTCATTACTATCATATAATTTAATGTATTTGGATCTTGCGTAAATCCATAAAATTGGATAAGATTTTCATTTGAATATTTTTTTAATTGACTATAACAATTATAATGATGTTTTCACTAAAATAATAAAAATTAATATAAAAATTATTATATATAAAATAAATTAAAAAAATAAATTCATACTTCATTTAAAAATTCTTCATTTAAATTAGATGAATTATCAAGACATTTAAGAGATACTTCTATTTTTTTACTTCTAATCCATTTATTATCAGCATATGAATAAGATTTAATAAATCTATCTAACCAAGTAGCTTTATATATAATACTAAATCCACCTTTATCAAGATACTCTATATTATTAAATTTATCGTAAGAAATCTATTCTAATATTTGTTTTTTATTTTTAGCATTCAGTTGAATATTTTGAAAATTTTATCAATAAATTTATTTTTACTAATCCAATTAGAAAAATAATGTTGAAGTAATTTAGAATTACATTCTTTATACCACTTATATCCAATATTTTTTTTTTATATTTTAAACATAATTCTTTTTTTCTAAATAGATATTTAAATTATTAGTATTATTATAATAATTTTATAAATAAAGTAAATTACTTACTAAATTTAATAGTTATTATATTTATTATTTTTTAAATTTAATATAATCTTTTAAAATACTATTATTAAAAGTAAAATTAAATACTAATAATCAATAAAAATAACTTACCATCTATTATATTTATTATATTATTAATTTTTAATAATTTTTTAAATTAAAAATATCGTTGACAGTAAAAAGTATTATTAAATACTGATAATTAATAAAATAACTTACTCTTTTTAGTATTTTTTGATTATAAATAAAATATTTAATTGAATTTAAATTATAGTAAAAAATATTATTAAATACTAATAATAAAAATAACTTACCATCTATTATATTATTAATTTTAATTATTTTTTTAAATAAAAAATTTAGTTGAATTTAAATTATAGTAAAAAGTATTATTAAATTCTGATAATCAATAAAAATTATAAAAATAACTTACTATCTATTATATTATTAATTTTTAATTTTTTTTTTAAATAAAAAATTTAGTTGAGTTTAAATTACAGTAAAAAGTATTATTAAATGCTAATAATCAATAAAAATAACTTACAATCTAAAAGATTAATTGTTTTTTTAAATAAAATATTTAGTTGAGTTTAAATTACAGTAAAAAGTATTATTAAATACTAATAATTAATAAAAATAACTTACTATCTATTATATTATTAATTTTTAATTAATTGCTTTTTTATAAAAAATCTAAATTATATTGTAATATAAAGTAATTACTTTCTGTAATTTATAATAATTAATATTATTATTTAAAATAAAATAAAATTATAGTAATTTAATTAATAAACTTATGATCTTAAGTAAATTTGAGTAATATTTAAATTTTATAAAATATAATTAAATAAACTTACCAACTAAAATGCAATTAATAAAATTTATAAAATAAATCAGTTATATTAATTTTAAATAAAAATTAAAAATCTCTTACTCCCTATGGTATTATCATTAGATAATCTTAATTAAAAAGGTCAAATTATTTTAGTTGCATAAAATAAAATATATAAAAATTAAATGGCTTACAAGCTAAGTTTCAATGATTATTAAATTTATTTTTTTTTATAAAAAAAAAGAAAAAAATTAATATATTGTTTGACTTAACAAATAGATTAAGATTTATTACCATTTAATTCTCTTAACGTAGGAGCATCAGGAGCATCTGAAACTGGCACTATAAAATAATGTATTTATTTTGAGAAAAATTTTGAAATTAATTACTAGACTGAAACACGTGAGTAGACATAATATTATTAGTCAATACGACGAGAAAAACAGAATTAATCACGTGACGTGATTAGGGTTCATTACTTATCCTCTTAAACATATATAGTTCTACACGCTAGTATTAAAATAATATTTATAAATTTTCTTACCATCTAATACTTCGATTATTTTGAATAAAATTAAGTATAGTTAATAATAGAATATAATATTTGATGAATAATTATATTTGCTATCGTATTTACCTTTATCACTCAAAACTAATTAAATATTTCAAATTGTCAATTTTTAGTAAATGAAAATATAACAACAGTATTATAGTTATTATATTTAATTCCATCATTTAGGGTTATTTTACATTACAATTTATGTAGCATTGATTTATTTACCTTCATCACTTGAAGCTGGTTCAATGTTAAATTTGATAAAATTTAATTTTTAATAAATAAAATTAATGAATTATTATATGGTTAATAATACATGAAGGAAGTACCTTCTATTTCTGCTAAAGAAGATGTTTCTTTAGCATCCGAAACTGACTCTGTGAATTTATGGAAAAAAATTTTTTAGAAAATCATCAAATAAACTCATTCGATGCCGAGCTTTATATCTTTTATTACTTTTTTTTTTGATGAAAATATTTTTAAGTTTTTCTATTATGTTTTTAACTTTATTGTTACTATCAGACATTGTTATAAATTTGTAAAAATAAAATTTTGTTAAAAAAAATATACAGTATATTGTATAACGATAATGGTGATACATATTGTCAAGATGTGGAGATCTCAATTACAAAACTAACCGACAAAAATTTCGCGATCACGTGATATGCAATTATATATCACGCCCATCTTGATTCATTTTTACTTTTTATTTGAGACTTAGAATTATTTTAGCGGCGTAGGGTTAGGGGTTATGCATAATGCAGGCCTATCATCACGAGATCACGAAATTTTTGTCGGTCTAGTTAAATTACAATCAGATGCTTGCGTCCCTTTATAATAAACATATAGTAGGATGTAACGGAAAAGATATTTTAGATTATATTAGCATAGAAACTTACTTAATTTTTAATTCGCATAAAGGAATAGTAATAATAATAAAAAAATATAATAATAATAAAAAATAATAATATTTGTATATTTATATGTTCGCGATCACGATCAAGACTAACATTCGTGATGATTGTATGTTATTGCTTATATGAGATGTTTTCAAATCAAAACAATTTGCAAAGCAAACAGAAAAAACTACGGAATCTTTAGGGGTGGTGGTCGGGGGCAGTATAAATCCGGGTACGTTATTTTATTGCTAGTCGACGACTATTGTCCCCTAATAGAGGAGGATAAAAATAAAATTGAAAGATCGAAACTTGGTTCTGGTCTGGAACAGGTGTAATGTCTAATGAACTTATAAGTATTTCGTCTTACGTATCGTTGGATAATGAGTGATACAGAAACAAGTGGTGTAAGATCGACCATCTGTGTGGGGTATAACGTTAAATTTGATGTGTATGGCTTCAAAAATATTACACAACACTTCAAATAAACAAACTTTCCATACTAACTCTAATTCTAACCTAATCCTATGACCATACACACAAAATTTTAACGTCATACACCACCCAGATGGTCAACCCTACACACGTCTTACCTTTGGATAATTACTACAAGTATTTCACATACATGTATATCACAGGACATATTTCACAAATAATAAGGATTCTCTTGAGATCAGTGGTAATTTTAAGAATTGGTGTTATAGAAATGAAACACTGATGGAATGCTTTTGTGCATTGAAATTATTTGGGAGGTATGTAATTAAAACTCATGTTCGGATCATATGATTTACTATGTCTCATAACCTAATTTTAATAGCATACGACCCATTTAGTAGATGGCACTGGGTGAATGGCACGACCGTTCTTTTGTATTTGAAACAAAAGGCAAATTGAAAGTGCAAAATCTTTGTTCGAGCATAAGTATCCAGGTATTGGCTTCGGGTTATCAAAAAATAACTAGAAGAAATTCATTATATATCAAAACATGACTTGTTGCAACTAAAAAATATGAAATTTTCATTAATGAATGCACATAATACCATTCGCACATGCTGCGTTAAGACCAAGGTCGCAAGCTTGACCATTTTATTTACAAGTTTAGTGATGAGGGATAGGGCGTAAACGATGAAGGAAGACAATATATAGTACGCAAGAAAAGAAGTAGATAAATAGAAGCCTTCATTTTGTCGTTATTGTAACGATGGTACTGTACATGATATATTTTAATTATTTCAATAATATAAACAATATTTGTATTCAAGTTATTCTCATAATTACCGTAATTATTGTTAACGTGTAAATCACGATCTCTCATACACAACGATACATGACCAAAAGTAAACCCTGTAGAATAATATAGCATGTCTACGATTTACCACCAGACTTATTTCATGTTCCGAGTATCTTCTTCATTTTCAAATGAGAAAATAAAACTATCTCTGTATAATAATCGTATAATTCTTATCATTGGATGGAAATTAAATCCGATGGGACTATATCCGCCAAAGATTTTTTGCGAACCTTGAACTTTAATCAAAACTAAGCTTGCCACTTAGTGCATTCATCTTTAAATGTGCGATCATTAATTTGATCCCCGATACCACGATAGATGAAACTGTACTTGTATTGTGAATCATTAACATTAAGAAAAATCTTTGCAAATTTTTTATCAATCCAATTGGCTATAATATTTACAAGTTTTGGTTTGATTTTTGATAAAAGTTTTCTTATGCGAGGCACCAAGGTTGTATATAGTTCTCGGTAATATACCTTTATAATGAAATTCCTCAACCTCTTCATAAATATTTTTGGGAATAACAGACTTATAAGGACGGACTTTATCAAAAAAGTCGGCACGATTAATTTCCATAAATCGAATGAGATGAACCAATTGACTTAGCGTTGCCTTCAACGCTTTGAAATTCTCTTTATTCCATCTAGATTTATGAGTTTACAATTCAGGAGTTTGTTCAATACCCCATTTGATTGAATAATCCCAAATAACAATAATTGTCGAAGTGATAAACGATTGTGGATCTGCAAAGATTGATTCGAGACAAAAATCTTGTAGTTTCTTGCAACTAGCTACCTTAAACACGGTATGAAGCATAATAACAAAATTTTGTTAGATCCAACTGGAATGATTTTCAAATAAATGATCTTGAACATGATCGAACAATTCATCAATGGAAAAATAATAAAATTTAAATGATCATATTATTCTTTTTTGTAATCCAATTAGACGATAAGGCATTTTTAAAATATGAGGAGCGTGCTTGTAAAATAACTGAATGTGCGTAAAAAAATTCTTGTTTTGGTTTTTGCCAACCTGAAAAGTGACATTGAAATCATCAGCATCATTTAATATTATAGAAAGATCCTTTGAAAGACCAGAATGAAATATTAAAGTCATTTTTGATTATTATATATTTTTTTTTGTCTTATTACAGTCAACGACCAAAATTAAGTGGACACCTTTTAAATCGAAAATTTATACTAATATTTAATTCTATTGCCATTTCCAGAAATAACCGCGTTGATCCTCCGCGGTATGTTATCAATTAATATTCCGGACTTAAGCCCAACCGAAAATCTTTGGGCAGAAATGAAAATGATGGTTCGATGTCGTACTCCCTCACCATCTAATATCCGAAATCTTGAAAAATATGTTAAAAATTCTTGGAAAGATATTCCTCCGGAATATTACAAAAAATTGTTGACAGGCTACCGCAAATGATCAATGCGATTATTGCCGCAAATGGCAATAGAATTAAATATTAGTATCGTGATTTTTTTTTATAAAAATCAATAAATAAAATAAATTAAATATATTTTACCTTATGTCCTATTTCCACTTTATTTTATTTATATAAATTTTTCGATTTAAAAAGTGCCTCATAATTTTGGTCGTTGATTGTAAATCCTTGTGAAAAGGCATAAACGGAATAGGTTTAATTCGCAAATCCTATTTTGAGTTTGCATTGCATTGTCAACTTGTAATAAACTTTATTTTATATGATTCACATGTGAAACAATTTTGTGAATCTTTACGCATTAATCTAATTTCTGAAACACAATTTTTTTTAATTGAGTGGCTTTGCTGGGAATAAAAATCTTAACATTTGTATTACATAAAAAATGACAGAAACTATTTTTACAAGAAGTTATCAATAAATTGTTATCAAGTGTAGTAAATAAATAATATTCGGCATAAACCGATATTTTTTAATCAATCACTTTGGTGAAGCAGGGAGGAGGAAAACCGATATGATACGGTTCGGCTGATCAGAGGGAGGAGGAAAACCGGTACGGAACTGTTCGGCTGATCAGTACGGTACTGTACTGGTTTTATAATATTATTGAAACCAGTACGGTACGAGGATAAAGTACCGCATCGTACCGTACATTTATATATAGGACCAGTACAGTACGGTACGATACTAACTTGAGTACGCTGCGCACATATGTCACGTGATCATAATAAACATCACTGTACACCACTAAAAGCCAGTGTTGTCATGGGACGCGGACACGGACATGGACCAGACCGGACCGGACTGTCCGTGTCCATGTCCGAGATTTTTTTATGTCCGGGACTTTTGTCCGCATTATTGCTCGCCATATCTTTTATTAATTCTGGCCAAAAGATCGGTCCATGTCCCAACTGTCCTGCGGACACAGTCCCGGACATAGACTTTCGGACATCCCGTGTCCACCAAAAATCACCGGGACAACGTCCGTGTACAACACTGACTAAAGCGTAATCAATAAAAAAAAATTTTTTTTCTAAAAAAAAAAAAAAAAAAAATACCTTAATAAAAATAAAATCAAGTGGTAGAAGGAGGAAAATCAGTATGATTTGCCTGATCAGTTTTATATAATATATGATAATATAAATATTTAAAAATTTAACTAATTTCAAAAATACTTACGGACAGTTAAAACATTTGACTTTTCAATGAGTTTTAGCATTTTTATGTATTAACGTTAATGTCAAAAGGTTCTTTTGTAAAAGTTCACTACGTAAAGCTTTACGTTTTCGTGTAGTTTCACTTCCAGAGGTAAGGTCAATTGCTTCTCTCATTGTTTAATTATTATAATTAAAGTAGAATGACATAAAACAAAAAATAAGTTTACATAATATAAAATTTCTCTTGTAGTACAAATTACTTACGACCCGGGTCGTGCAAAAGTATGACCTGTCGGGTTGATTTAATTCAGGTCTTAAAATTACGGAATCGACAACTTAACCTGGGTCAATAACCTGGGTCAACAGACCAGTTCGGAGCACTACTTTCGTTTGGGCTGCAGCGATCGGAATAACTTTTTTTTTTTATTTATTTATTAATAATTAGGATTCTGGATCATTTCAGAAGATTTTGTTTTTGATTATAGGTTTTTTTTTTATTTTTTAAATTTTTAATTTTTTATAGGTAAGGTAATTTTTTTTATTTTTCATTTTTTGTTTTTTCGCCGAATATAATTTAATGAATGGTTGAAGAACTTTATTACAATCTGACTTATTGCGCCACTAAAAATAGATTTCGATTAATCGATATCAATTTTTAAAAAATTTATTATTACTTTTTGCAAAATTTTATATTTCCTTTAAGAAAAAATGATAATACAGTAAGCGTCCAATATATATATATCGTCTTTGTCATCTAAATAAAATAAAAAATATAATATGTTAATAAGGTTAAGGTACGTCATTAAAACATGATTTTTTCTTTTTATTTTTTATTTTATTTTATTAGCCATGTAAATATGATGGGAAAAAATAAATAAGCTTTAAAAATCAACGAATGACGCTCAAAAGGATTTCATTGAATTAAATCTTTTTCATGAACATAAATTTCGAACTAGGATTTGTCGAATTGATACATTTTGTAGAATTCATTAATTAAATTTCAAAATTTATTTTTTATTATTATTATAACGATGTGATAAAAATGAATATTTATAATATAGTAAATCATATGATCCGAAACCATCTCTCATCTCAAGTCGTTAAAACAAATCCCTCCTAATCAAAATATTTCCACTATGAAGAAATTATGAATGAATGAGTCCATTGCCATGAATATATTCTAGTCATAATCAAAAGAAATTAAGTGATATAGTGTTGAAATCTCTTTAACAAATAAAATAAACCCCCAATCAAAATATTTCCGCAATGAAGATTCCCATGTAATGAATGAGTCCATTGCCATGAATATATTCTAGTCATAAACAAAAGAAATTAAGTGATGTAGTTTTGTTTATGACCCGACATCCATCAGGATATTTCCACAATGAAGATTTCCGTGGATTAGTCCATTTCCATGTAAATATTCAAGTCCTCCCGTTATACTATTAAAAATGTTACGAACATAGTAAATCATATGATCCGTAACGTGATTTTAATAGCAAACCCCAATTATGAATTTACAAAAAAAAATATAATAGAATAAAAATTTTTAATTTTTTGTCTCGAAGAAGGAATTGGTATTTGTTGAGGTAATTGATGTTATAGTTATATCCTTCATAAAATAATTCGAACGATTTATCAAAGAAAATTCGTTGTTTGGTTTTTGTTTTGTTTGTTTTGTTTTATAGTTTTGTAAAATTAAGAAAGATTTATTTTTTATTTTTTTTTATTTTTATTTAAAAAAAAAAATTTAATGGAGAGTCAGGCTATGCATTTTAACAAACATTTTTATACATTTTTGATCCTTTATACGCTTACTAATTTGATGTTACAACAACGATGTTGGCAAACAATAGAAAATCAGAATTGGATTGTTATTATGAAACACTCATTTAGCACAGCCGAGCAATGTGATACAGTGAAACATATGAAATATTTTTTAATGGTACACTACTTTATTTAATATGTATTTCTTTGTCATAGCGAACCTTTATTTAATTTAAATATTGCATGAACTGCATAAACAATTTCCAATACTGCAACTGAATTAATTAATTATAGGTCCGCATCATGCTTTAAAACTTCCAAAAAAAGAATTGGTAGGATTTCGTGATAAATTAGTTTCAATCACAAAATTAGAAAACGTTGTATTTGCAACCCTTTTGTTTTATCCATTTAAGATTAATCATTAATCACAAAAATTTTTTTGAAATTTTTTTTTTTCTAAATATATAAAATAATATAAAGTAAATAAATGGGGTCGTTAGCTATTAAAATACAGTTAATATCATATGATTCGAACATGATTTTAATTTCAAGCATAACAATGATGTTACAGCTAAAAAAGACATTCTGCCTCAAGTGTATTGAAAAAATATTATTGAAATTTGTGGAAATATAGTAAAAAGTTGTATTTTTTTTTTACGCAATAACAAAAAATTTTGTTGTATGATCGTGATTTTGACATCGTCATATACCATCCAAGAAATTCTTTTAACTTACTCTATTTTTTTCCCTTGGATTTTTCTAATAATTTTTCATATAAGAATTTTAAGGGTAATATTATACCGAAGTAAAAAAAAAATATTTATTTATGCAGATAATAAAAAGATTTGAAAGATTATTATTTTTAATTCGTGATCTGCCTGTGAAACATAAAATTTTTAAATTGCTAATGATCGGCGGTGATAAATTTCTTTAAAACCTGTTTTGCAATAATGTATGTTTTGTTAATAACGGCGGATGAAGAACTACATTTTGGAGTATTTGGTGGCAATCACGTGACCGTGAGGATAATACTTTATTATATTTTGTACACTTAGGAAGGAAAACACTTAAGGAGTTTTTGATTGTAAGGATTTGGGATATGCAGATTCAGGATATATATTTATCAAATTGAAAAAATACAAACATTGTTTATACAAAGAATTCATTAACGTTATTATTCAATAACCTTATACTAAAATGAACAAATTAACTTCAAATATAGTAGTAGCAATCCTGATAAAGTTTAAAAAGAACTTTAGAAAAAATTCAATTTATTATAGAATTGAAATAAAAAACTTTATTTGATATTAATCATGAAAAAACTCAAAATCTAATAAATAGCTTCTGAATACCTTCTTGTACAATTAATAAATAGAATGATAAAATTATGATGATATAATTATATAAATATCATTTATACAAATTTATAATTGCTGATATTTCTCAGTATAAATTTTTACTCAATTGGAAAATGAATAATGTAATATAATAGAATTATATAGTACTTTTGAATCTATCTATCTAAAAAAAAGAATTTTGTGCTTGAAAAGCATTATTACATAGTATTAGATACATTAATATTACACCATTTAATAAATATGAAACGAAGGTAAGAAAAATATGATAATTTTAAAAATATTATTTATTTTTAAAAAAAAAATATTTTTTTTTTAGAAGAAATTTTAGACTAAAATTGAAAATTCAATTGATGATAAAATCTCTTTTTTTATTTATATACAAACAATTTTCTTAATGTATATATTTTAATAAATGTTCTAAATTCAAATGTAAATAAATTTTGGTCTTATTTTAACAAATCTTTAAAAATAAATAAAAGGGAAATTAATGGAAAATGAAGAATTTTATCAATAATTATGAATGATTTTTCATATGTAGAAATTAAAACAAATTTATCAGTAAGTTATTTCAACTTATCTAATTATAATTTTAATTATAATTTTTTATTTATCAATTTTTAATATAAGTTGCTCTAAATAAAATTTTCAATGCTCGTAAATATATTAGTTTGAATAGTCCTGATGCTAAACAAATTAAAAAACTATAAAGATAGTAAATAAACTATTATAAGAAAATTATAATTTTTTTGAAAATGAAACAAATGTTATTATGTTTTTTATAAAACAGATACTAAAACCCAATTACCTGTTCATTATTTGAAAAATATAAAGAAAGCACTTTGGAAAAAATTTCACAAAATATATCCAAATGGTTTAGAAAAAACTATTTTTTATTAATGTCAGCTGAGGATATTAAAAAAGAAACAGCTCAACAATTTCAACATGCTGCTGAACCTTAAAATGCTTCAAATAAAATACCAATTAACTGAATACCCTTTTATAAAGTTTTTAATTATATTGATACTTCTATATACAATAATCTTATAAGTATACTGATAGAAGAAAAATGATCCTAAATAATAAAGTTACTTCCAAATAACAAAGTTTGTGGTCTCTTATAAAATTTTAATGAACTCCTAAAATATCTCAGCATAAATACAAATAAAACTTTTTGAATATTTATATGTGGCTGTCTAAAGCTGTTACTTATATCTAATATTTGAAACCTCGTCTATATGTATTCTATTACCAAACTAAAATTCTGAAAATTTAATTTAAATAACATGTGATCTATAACTTATTAGAATATCCAAAAAAGCAATAATTAAACTTATCAATAAAAGACTTTTATCTATTTTATCCATCAATAACGTTATAATTACTATAACTCTTATTTTACAAATGTATAGCATTTTAAATTCAAAAACTTCAACGTAACTTGTATCTTCTTGATCATTTCTGTCACTTATCATTAAGAGTATTTGTTGTAAAATCAATATTTAATTGCTAAAGATCCTTTTCTATACTTTGAGTAATAATTTGTTTTGTAATTTCTTTATAATATTATTGTTGTTTAAGTATTCTTTAATTATTACTTCCTTTATCATATTTCTACTGAGTTATCTTTTTAAAAATATCTTCTAATAATTACTTTGGAATGTAACTTCTAATTATTACTTCTGATTATTCTTTTGAATATTACTTCTGATTATTACTTATGATTAATACTTCTGATTATTTTTATTGAATATTCCTTCCAATTATTATTTCTGAATGTTCTTTTTGCATTTATATATTTTGAAGTTTTTGTCATATTTTCACTATTCTTTCTGAGTTTTATTTTATCATTATTTCATTAATGTCTTTCTAAAATTAAAGTTTATATACAAGTGAAACAACTTTATTTATTTCCATAATCTAATTGTTCAACAATTAATTATTTCAAATAAAAGTATTCATTTTTATTTGTATTAAAAGTTTATTTATTAAAATATTTTTTTTTTTTTTTTTTTTTTTTTTTTTACTTGATAAATTGAATATAATTATCCT